ATCGATAGGGAATTTAAGCAACAACTTCCGATACAAGTGCTTCGCGCTTTTTTTTTTTGCACTTTTCTTTGCCGTCGTAGCACGACTACGAAGTGAAACTTCATCTAATTTCATCTTCTTTTTTTTTTACAACAATTGTCTCTTTCTTTACTTAGATACAATCCTTTAGAATTAAAAGCCAGTTAAATTTGCTAACATTTGACTAATCGACATAGATGGAATAAGAGCGATGAAGTTTACTGAAAACAGCGCGAATTCACTTTTAAAGTGACGTTTTCATCGCTGTCGCCGCCGTGGTTGACGTTTCCTCTCGTTTGCCTGCCATATGTTAAACAGCATGCTAGCTCCTATTCTACCATAGCACGAGAAATGGAAATTACCTTCTTTGCAAACTGAGGTAAGGTAAATGCTGTCTTGTGAATTTCCGCATTATAATATCTAAGCTCCATTTTTTCAAGTTCGTCATCCGTAAATAGAGTAACTGGATTATCAAATCTTGTGTCCTAAAAATAAAAGCACAACTGGCATAAGGATATACGATAAAATAGAGGTAGAGAAAAAAAGATAAATAGTTTTATAAAAAAGAGGCTACACCCTGTAGGGGCAACCCGGAAGTAGGCTATTGAAAACATGATTTGGAAACTTTCTAAGTTGAAATACCTGTTCGCCATTAATATTATTTAACTCCATTAGTCACAAACTCGTCACATGATAGTTATTTCAACTTTATCAAACAACCAGCTTACAAAACATTATTTTTTTCATACCTGTGTCTTTCCTGGCTGCCGAAGGAAAAAGGCTCGAATATGAATAACCACTTCTTCTATACTCTGGTTTTATGCTGAACTCGTCTACGTTCACACGGAAACGGATGAACCTTCGAACGGTTTAGGTATTCCGTTCACATGGAACAACCTTGACCGCGGACGGAAATTTAGATTCCTAGCCGGTCAAAGTTGTGTGTGAACTGGGCGAACGTTCCGTGTGAACAAATGTCCGGTTAAATTTTTCACCCGGTAGAAATTTCATCCGATGCCGTGTGAGCGTCGCCTAAAATCAATTCTAAATGCCTCCTACCTTATTCTTGCTGCAGAGTATAAATCCTATTTGTCCACTGGGGTAGGTGGGTATTGTAGTGTAGCCATAACTAACCACAGGAAATAATCTTCTACTGAATTCTAACACAGACTTTATAAGCGGTATATGAAGCCATATGCATTCTCCTGGTAAATTAAATATGAAATACACACTAATAAACAAGAACGGCAAATCAATCATCATGACATTTTTAAAAAACCTTAGTCAGGTTTTAAAATTATTTCCCGGCTGGTGCTGGGCAAGTTGCCCGGTCAAACCTATCTTTGCCCGGAAAACCAGTTAGTGGCCGGACAAATGTCTTTTATCTACATTATCACACTTCAAAGTATAACCACGTGACTATTAGAGTGATAATTAATTTGTTAAAGCCACACACGCTACTTCATGGATGACAGTCTTGGTCTTGTCGAATCCGCCCCTCCCCAACCCCAACTCGTTTTATCATCAAGAAGTTCAATAATGTCCAGTCTTGATCGAACAATCATATCTTGAATCTGGAGGTCCATAAAAAACGTAAACAAAATGCCCGGTCGATCTTTCTGGTGCTGTGAGGGGGTCTACTAATCAAGAGTACCTGAACAAATAAACGTACCTTTTATTTTGAAATGATGATCTAGTCAAAGTACTTTTGCAAGGAAGATTTTTTTTAAACAAAATATCTAGTCTACAGGAGGAAAAAGCGATAAGAGATGGGCTATAGAGAATTAAATCCGCTTGTGCAGTTTAAATACTACCACAAAGTGCATCTAGAGTAAAAGTTGAGTGACTACCTTGCGAACAGAGAAGACCATCTGGTTTTAGGGCCCTTTTCACAAGTTCATAATATGATTCTTTAAAAAGAGATTCTGCGGGACCTAACGCAATAGAAAAAGAGAACAATTTTAAAATACAGTGAAGATATTCATGATGCTACATGGTTTGTTAAGAGACAAATTTGCTAAAGACATGTTTTCTGGAAAGTAAAATGCAAACACATTCAAGGAGTGACACTGATTACCACCTTTTGACCATAGGTTTATAAAAGGAAGACAGGGAAAGTACAGTGTAACCTTTTAATATTCACTCATGGCCTGTGGTGAAACCATTAACAAAACAATTAAAAAAACAACCTGCTAACAAAAAAAAAAAGGTATTTCACTTTGATTTTGCATTTTGCAACGCCCGCCCACATTTGTTTTGCTACAACTATAACTTACACAATTTCGCTTTATTAAACCTTAAACTTTTCAAATCAATATATTCAGAAAGCCAGCAGTGGACTTTCAGCCACGACTTTTAGCATGTGCAGAGTCTTTTGCGTTGCTGTCATTCGCATAGTTGGCATTATAGGTGACTTACGATCCGACAACGGCGATCGATGTCCACGAAAAAGTCGCTGTAAAATAGACTATGCATCATTTCAAACTATTTCACGATTACCCCAAGTTGTGCTGTTACAGTTGTACTTCAATGAAGGGAATTCATGTTGGAGTTGAAGTAAGGGGACCGCGCCCTAGTTCAGGCAGTGATGGTGGAATTCCCGTTCCCGTTCTCGAGTAAACTTAAAATCTGGTCATTTCACTGCATCGTAGTTGTGCATAGTCTGCTGCACAACTGTTTTTAGCGTCGTCACGCAACGCTCCTCCCCACTAGTTAGTGGGGAGAGGCGTTGCATGACGACACTAAAAACCCTGTGTAGCAGACTAAGTTGTGCATGGACTGCAAAGAAATGTACAAAAAAGCGTGATGCACGTGCAGAGTTGTTGTGTTGCTTAAGCTTCCGTTGCCGTCGTCGTCGTAGATTCGTAATGTCTCTTACGTCTTGAGGAAGTTAACAAGCCGACCGTATGAATGAATTAGCAATGCAAACAACTTTATAAATGTTAAGGTATTAGATCTGCTACGAACTCTTCCATTTGAAAAAATTTATTTCTCGAATAATAAGGAATTTTTGAAAATAAAAACTACACAGGTCTATCAAGTGAGAGCTGAGCTTTCAGAAAATTGATATCTGAGGTGTCAATTTTTCCACCCAAGGTGTGATTTGTGATTCAGAAAGAAACCAGTGATTTGGGGGTAATTTGTTGACACAGACAAGTTAGTGGTAAATTGAATGGGTGGGAACTAGATACAGTAAGAGATCAGGCGCACAAACCAGACTTCTTGTAACTAAAGATGATGATGATGATGATGATGATGATGATGATGATGATGATGATGATACATACCAACAGGATCTGATGAGTCTGTAATGACAACATCAAATTCATTTTCATGTTGCTGCATGTACTCAAAGCCATCCCCAATACACTGAGTCAGTTTAGGTGAACTGTATCCCTTTGCCATATTAGGCAAATGCTTCTTACATATGTTAATCACTTCCTGTCAGATAAAAAAAAGACAGTAAGACAGTGACTCTGAAATGGCCAACAGATGTGAGGTGCTAACCACTCATGCCCCACATCTGGTAAGTGCCCCTGCATTTTTTGTTATTAAACTTTTAGGGATAACTAACCTCATCTATTTCACACTGCACAATGGATTCAACTGCTGGATGCTTGGACACCTCTCTTATGACTCCTCCATCACCACCACCAACAACAAGAACCTGAAGATGACAATTATGGCATCAACAAGAAATTAGTAATTTCAAATTAGAAATTAGTAATTTCAGTGTGACAAGCAACAATTTATGGGTAATTGGCAAGACAACATTTTTTTTTTCAGTGACTCCATTGTTAGCATGTTTAGTCGACTCTGGTCAAGAGATGATGATTAAGTAATGAAATCATAATATTTTTTTCAAAGTACTTGCATTGTTGAGAAAGATTTAAAACTCCAAATAGGCCTACCGTAATTTCTCTTTTAAAAAAATCAAATCAAAGTACTTTTAAACAGAGAAAAGGATCAGAAGTCCTCCATAAATATCTTAATGAAGTCGCACTAAGTGGCAAGGACCGAGGAATGACAGCTGCATTCACAGGCTATTAAGTTATAATGATAATATTTAAGTGAATAAAGTCAAATACATGTACATTGAACTTCTGTATGCTCATGCCCAGTTTTTACCTTTTTGGGACAAGGATGAGAATTAAGTGGAAGGAAAGTGATCATTTCTTGATAAGAAAATTCATCTCTATCAGTGCATTGAATAACTCCATCCAGAACGAGAACTTTACCATGGTGTTTGCTGAAAGACATTATTTTGAGAGGTAATTACATGTATGCTGATTTGCCAATGATAGGCAAACCACAAAGAGAATCTGCTACAATAAGGCGCCTGCAATAGTTGGGATGAGAAAAAAAGCCCACTTACCCGTGGCCAAATGATTATCTGACGGGGTGTAGCCGGCTTTTCAACTAGTTATAGGCCTGGCTGACTTTCATCCTGAAAATTGCACGCATGACTAGTACAGACTGACCTCACCAACACTTTGACCTCTTACGCATTTCAGCTCTTCCCAACAACGTATAATTTATTACAAATGGTAGAGTGATCAAACCAAAAATTTGCAGGCCCGGGCCTACAGGTCTATAGGCTGGCTATGCCCCTGTTTGAAGGAGGAGCACAGAAATTCCATCCAGGAGATGTGTCACTACGCAGATCAGGATGGGGCTTCTAATAGGTTGAAAACTTGCCTCATCCATTCAGAAGCACTATATCCAGATGTGGGTATTGATAGGTCATCATTATGGAATTTCTGCACTTGTTCCTCATTGCCATTTCAGTACTACATATAAGGCACTGATTAGACTCTCATCAGAGTCACTTTGCAACATAGCGCTTCATTTTAACCTCCCTTCTATATCTAAGGGCACTTTCCATTTGTCAGAACTGGCCGGCCAGACCATTACCGGACCAGTTATTTTGACAATGAAATAGGCTTTTTCCAAGGGTTTTTGCTGAAGAACCATCTCCTTCCTACACACTATTTAGGATTTGACTGATCGGATGATCTAGCTGGATAGTTTTGATTAATAGTGAAATTCTCATTATGAAGGGTATTAAGGGTCCGGCCGGTCAGTTCTGACAAATGGAAAGCGCCCTAAGGTTGAAATGCTTCCATAGGTTTTCATCATTATAGGTTTTTAATAGATATTCAGTCGTTAGACAGTGTGCAGGTAAAAAGTGCCCATGAAGGGTTCACGATATAATGGGAATTTGTTACTTGGGAAGGCAAACAAATGTTGAGTCCATTGTTTGTATAAACTCAGGAGTCTGTTGTAAGCTGGCTAATTTTAGAGAAAATATACAAGCTTTTCTTCGGCACAAACGACACTGTTTTATTTAAGGGTGTTAAATTACATAAAGTGGGTGCCCGTCAATTGGGGTTCTGCTTTACTTGATATATAAGGTACGTCAAAATCATGACAATTGCTTCTTTTGATCAAAATGTGACTTTACTTACCTTTTAAACACCAGAATATCTTGGTATTTTGATCTTCCTGTGTAAAGAATTTCTTCCACCTCAAGGGAGAGAGCTTGTCCTGGCCACTGGTCATTGATCTCTGAGAACCATCCATTCTGTATTTGATTCATCTCTCTCTCTCTCTTTCTTTATTATTTCGTTTTGTTTATGTGTATGTTTGGTTTTTTTTTTGTTATAATTTTTTTGTTCTACAGCTGTGAAGAAAAAACAACAGGGTAATAAAATTCTTCTTATTAATTATCATTTTGTCTGGTCAGTATAATACAGCTAGACTGGAGACTATAGACTGGGTATAAATGTGGACTGTTTAAAAAACTGAGCTAGGCAAGGTAAAGTGAGATTGTGTGACTTCCAGTAAATATCCAAAATGGCCTTATCCATAACAGCTTAGCACAGTGGGGGAGGAGGGGGTTTGTTTTGGTTAGGCTTAGGGTTAAGGGGGGGGGGATGTTATTTTCAGAGACCAAAGGCCGAGCTGGATAACATCCTCTGAGGTCTATTACTTCTTCGCAAAACATGTAAAAAGTTCCTCCATTTTGTCCAGCTATATTAAAACAACACAACCACATCCCTAGGACTTCTGGGTTGTTGTCTGTCCATTCTTTGGTTATTTACCCTGTACTATTGACGTCATTTTCCAAATATCACATCTTCCAAATTTAATCAATGCTACCTGGTTTTGAAGAACTAGCCACGGGATTTGAGCCAATTAGATAAATATGCTCAGCATCATAATAAGCATAGATCTGCATGCGTGTTCTAACTGTATGGCTTTCCTTACTCAATTGTTGAGGTGACTCATCCAGGGAAATAGGTGAAAATGTCATGGACGTCAACCTGATTGCAGCTATGCACTTTTTTGCTAATTTTCAATCCGGCATTGATTAGTCTTTTTAGAATATGTGGCATGTGTCTCATATAATGTTAAAAATCTTATGACCTTTTGGCCTGGATTCTGGCAGAGTTTTGATGAAATGTAAGGATCAGTCATAGAACTTAATATTCCAGCATAATGCAGATTGTCTTGCCTAATCCCTGTTGAGTTAAAAATTATGCCTACATAAAGTAGTCAACCGTTTATAAGCTTAAGTATTATAACTTGATAAATTAAAAAAAAAAAAGAATTACTGCAGCAATAGTTTTCAACCTCGCCAACACCAGCTCGACTCGCATGGGTTTAGCCTCCCCGCAGACGCCTTTGGGGTTTGTTTGTCACGCATTCATTTCTCCCCCACGGACGTCTGCTAAACACAGCCGACATTTACGTTCACCAATCACAGGCCATTTACGGATTTTTGTAAAACGTAACCCGAGCCGCTTCTTAAGATTCGCACGATCAGTGAGGCTTTTGATCGAGTGTGCGAGAAATTTGTAATTAATACAGAGTTAAACAAGTATCAGAGAGAAGCTATCCTGCAAATTTTATAACGAAGACCGAATTGTGTTCATTAATTTGCCGTGGGGGAGAAATGAATGCGTGACAAACGAACCCCAAAGGACGTCTGCGGGGAGGCTAGCATGGGTTAGGAACACTAGAATATTTCGACGCCTCAATTTGCTTATATCTACTCTTTCATTTCGCGCCAAAGGTAAAATCGAAATCAAAACTACTAGGTTAAGAGGGGACACAATCTAGGTTTAATTAATTTGCTATCTTCTTCGGCTTCACCCCTCAGCGAATTTGAAACATAAAAACACCAAACGCGTTCGTTTGACGGAGTAGCCTAATTTTTTGACGAGAGAAAGGGGACTTTCTCGACGTATTAAGAATGTGCCGGAATCGCCGCGCTGTCAAATGTGTACACAATAATTCCGATCTGTTATCCACTAAGCTGGCTGTTGCTAAGCTAATTAAAACGACTTGGATTTTATTTTGTTAAGAGATTTGATTTTCAACCTATTATTAAGGTACTTACCTACAATAATTCCGCTAAAAAACGCCAGCGTTCTCGTCACTACTCGACGACTGCTTGACATAAGCAATCTGTTAAGCCGTGGTTAAATGAACAACGTGCACGTGCCTTACTTGATCTCCCCTCTACCCCTCCCCCGAATAATTTAGTTTGTTTTTATATTGAACACTATTGCGTCCGTGCTTCCTTATTGTGTTGAATATCGCAGTGATAAAAATGATATGTTTTTCAACTAGAAGACTTTTTTCAGTCATAACCAAATAATAAAAGAGTACTAGTCAGAAAAACTTGTCTATTAGTTTTCCCCACTCTACCCAACACGATAAGATAAATTTCGGTATAGGTACCGCGAAGGACTAGGTTCTAACTGGTCGTTTCAAAATGGCGGTCAAAATGGCGAACACGGGTGCTACAAATTCTTCAAATCCTGTCGTGTTTTTCGACATAACCATTGGTGGACAGGTAATTAAATACTCCGATTCATGTTAAGTTTTTCCTCATCCCTAGCTACGCTATTTCATTGCAATTAATGACAGGTTGACTTTAAAATTAAGGGTTAAAGATTTAGTGGCCTACTTAACTTAGCTCAAGCTCATGAACTAAAAGATGTCGGCAGAATTAATTTAAGCATAGTTGATTGTTCCGACTTTACGTTTTTTAATTCTGTACTTATAGGAAGTAGGCAGGATGAAGATGGAGCTTTTTGCAGATGTTGTGCCAAAAACAGCTGAAAATATGCGGTGAGCAAGTTACAAACATATTAGTTTTTATCACCAGAAAAATTCAATTCATGTGGACAAATTGGTAGTATTTGATGAACAAAATAAATATTGAGGGGCCCATTGCGATGTATTACAGTAAGAAAAAAACTTGTACAAACTCCCTGCCATTAAAACACACTATATTTGCATAAAGTTGAGGTATACTGCTTTGAGCTTTCAATGGCATTCATCCGGTGGATCCATTGGCTGAGACAGTAAACATTTCTGACAGAACCATTCCCATTTAAAAACAGGGGTTACCATTCGGCTTTTCACGAACAAATAGGGTTTCCATTTTTTATGCTGTCATGAATTTTAGCAAAACAATAATAACTGTCTTTCAGACAACTTTTAACTGAACGTAAAAGAAGATGTTGTAGTTATTTATTTATTTATTTATTTAATTTTTTTTATATCAGCTAATTATTAAATCTCTATTTATTTTATCTCAGATAATTATTTGTGTTTTTCAAAAGAAAAAGAAAAATTACCTAAGATAAAAAATGAACTACAACATAGATACACTGCACAAGCAAATCAGTGGCATTGTTTTGAAGTGTTTCTGGAGTATTCTTCTTGCTGGCTGGTATACATGTAAAGGTTATAAAAAGTAATTTAAGTACAAATTATTTATACATTAACCAATGAGGGCAAACGGTGGGTGATTTACTTTTGTTATGGTACTCTGTATACAAGTTGCTTGAAGTATTTTTCTGGCTTTTTGATCTCATTAATATAATTATTATTGACGGATATGGATTCTGAAGGGTCTTTAAAATTGTACAAAAGTCTTTTAGCTGTGAATATAAATGGGGGTAATTAATGATCCACAGTCCTAAAAGTTGTGTGTATTTAAATATCCATTTGTAATAACTATTTGTAGAAATAAGAAGTTTAATCCATTGTAAGTATTCATTGTTTTGTTATGATTTCTCTAGGCAACTGTGCACTGGTGAATACAGGTGAGAGTAATTCACAATGTTGTGGTCATGACTTTAAAATATTAAAAATCAACTTTGAAATTATTGATAACTTTTGGCTCGGTTTCTACCCTGAAGGGTACAGAGACAAAATATTTTAGAGGGAGTGTCAAACAATTTTGCAGAGTCAATGTTGTGTTTCCTTGTGCACAAAAAATACTGTGTATTACTTTACAGTCCGACTACTGTAACTGGGTTCACTTAGACAAAGTTGACCAATCAGATTACAGGAAATTAAAAAAAAACATTGGACCAAGAAAGTTGGTTGTGAACCAATCAGTAGCTCGTAAAAAAAAAATATAGGTTACTCGAAGCACAAAATTTAGATATTGATAGCAAACGTTTTTCAGGAAAGCAAAATGTTTCACCAGACAATGTTTTTCCATTTGAAACTTGACATATACACTGTGACATGTAAGGGACATATTTGTTTGATACAAGCTGTTATTTTGTCATCTACAAGCATTTTTGTCACTACCATTGGCAGCCGCTTTTTGCAATAACATGCGAAGTCCAAATTATAACTAATTTTTACTTTTGTCGTCTCCATCACTCAGACGGACCTCTCAAGAATCACGGGCTTTCTTCAGTGGGTTCAAAACGCCACGTCTGTATTAATTAATGTATCAGTTGTGATTGGTTGATTTGGATCCATGTTGTTTATTAATAAAATAAAAACACGAAATGAAATTTTGATTTCATGGTAATTATCGTTGACAACTACCCTATTATAGGAAATTAACACTTCATGAAATTAACACAACTTTAAGTTCTGTTAATTTTTGTTAACATTAATTTCCGCACCATTAAATTTAATAAAGTACAGCGTTAATTTCCATTACCTTAGTTTCTATCATTTTTGGCTCCAAATTCTTGACCTACTCCAGACATTCCTGACACTTAGAAACTGAAGAAACTGAATAGCTTTAGTTCTGTGCACTTTAATATATGCGGGCTGTCACTAAGATTTCAAGTTGCAGGGTAAATACAACAAGTAGGCGGGGAATCAAACAGCTAGGGATTTCTGTTGGTTCTATTTTTTTTCTATTTCCCTATGAAAGTAGCCGGGGGCCACATTCTTAGTAGCCGGGGGAAATCCCTGGCCCCCGCCTCTTAATGACAACCCTGAATATGTCTTTATTTCAGATCAGTCTTTCACAAATTGATTACTGTAACAATTATTTCATCTTCATGGATGATGGTCGTGGTATGAGAAATAACCCTCAACATCTGCCTCCTGGATTTTGGTCAAGTTTAAATAAATTTGTGCCTGTTGTTTAAACAACAGCTACTTTTGTTCCTTTTTGTACGTTGTGTTAATTTTCTTCCTTTGAAACTTTTTCCCAGCCTTTTGCGTTAATTTTCTATATTATTGGGAAGTATTATTTTTCCCCTTTAATTTGCATTAATTTAAGTTGCTTAATTTCAAATACCTTAATTAACACAAGCGTATGTTTTCTATAATAAGGTAACTTTCTCAGAATGTATTGTTATTGTCCTTAATCCGATTGGTCAACTTTGTCTAGGTGGCCCCAGTTATAGTAGTCACACTGTAATATAATTGAAAACAAAACTCATACTTGGTCATGTTTGCATCAAAACAGTGCACAGGCATCCTAAGTTCACCTCAAAAGGGTGGAATGTATAATTTGCTTTCTGTGACCGAGTGAGTAGGTTTCATGTACCAGATGTTGTATACTGAGATCCGCAACCGATAAATTCCGTTATATTTTTACCTTTTGATAAAAAAACTACACTCTAGATAAATAACGAAGATTTATCTTTGATGAATTTCTGTATGCTAGTATGAATTCATTGTTTTAGTCGACGTGTGGCTCTCTTGCATTACCCCTGGAACTCCATTCATAAGACGAATGTGCAGAAAAAGAGATTAGGTTCTCTAAGGACATGGAGCTTGGAATACCTGTGAAAACAACTGCACTGTATGTGTATTTTACCCATACCTTGAGTCTAATTTTTATTATTATAATTAATAAATTTGCATCCATGCATGTACATCTAGATACACACTCGTATTTATTTTACTGAAATTTCTTTAGAAAAGGTGGAGTACCCCAAGGATATAAAGGAGCAACCTTTCATAGGTATGTAGTGGTATAAAAATTAATGCCATAGGCATCCATCTTTTATTTAACAGTTAATGAATGAGGCTGAGTATCTTATGAAGAATTATGGAGATCGAGGAGGGTGTTATCCGTCGAGGCCATAGGCCGAGGCGGATAACACCCTCCGAGATCTCCATAATTCTTCATATGATACGAAAGCCGAATTCAATAACTGTTTTATTATTCATTCAAAATATTTCCTAGTTTAAAAACATAGCTAAAAACATGCTTACCTCCATCGATCCATCGATGTTCAGTTCATCTTCGATACTGTACGTTTAGGTTTGTCCAGCTCCGCAAATATTCTCCAGATAGCAGATGTCGCCCTTCGAGTTGTCTTCTTGCTGTTCTTTCCATGTTTTTAGCCATGTTTTCGCCTAGTTCTTACTCTTGAAACGAGTGAAATGTCCGCCATTTTTTCAAGTTCCCAACCAAAACAACTGAACCTCGTCCCCAGGTCTTCTCGGTTAACGGTGCCTTAACCTGCGAAAAGCTGCATTTTTGACGTCATTTCCTCGTTAAAGTCAAATTTCTTCCAAATTTGGTCAACAGTAACTGGTTATGGTGAATTAAACGTGTGCTTTTAGCCAATCAGATTCGGTGAAATATTTTGAATGAATAATAATAGTATATAATATTGTGCACACTCAGTGCATGATCATGATCAGTATAAGGCAGATGAAAATAATGATGCCAACAAAGTCAAATGTTCAGTGTACATTAAGATGGGTAATGAAAGGGCAACAGCAACAAGGGAAATTGGAAATATTGACAGAGATATGACTTCCAGCTGCCTGGCTAGCTCTATTGGATACGTGCCGGTGTGCTGTGCAAGAGGGTGCTGGTTCAAACCCCAGCTGAACCAACTCTCAGGTTCTTTATTAAATAACTGAGGAGAAAGGGCAGCCTTTGTAAATAATAACATTTGCAAAGGTAATAGACTTTCTGGTGCTCTCAGATAACTGTCAATAACCTGCCTGTCCTGTCTCACAACTGTATTGTTGCACAGTCATGCAATAAATTCTATCTATAGGACCTAAGCAGTCTGGAAAAAGTCCTAAACTGGTTATGTTGTAAATTGTCCCAGAACAGCCTTGAGGGGAGTGGGTAATAAGATATTTATAAATATTTATTTCAATATTATTGACTTTATCTTTGTTTAGAGTAATTAAGGATTTCATGATTCAAGGTGGAGATTTTGTAAAGGTTAGTT